CGATCGTGCGCACGAGGATCGCCACGTGGCCCGTTCTGCGTGGCCTTCGTGCGTCAGCGTCTTGACCACGCGGCGTGTCCTGGTTGGCCCGGAGCTACTGACCGGGCTCGCTGCTGACGTGGTGCAATTTTTTTTAAATTGCATTTTGACCTCCGATTTTCGATTTTCTTTTCAAAAATACCCCCAGAATCTAAATTTTCACCCCTTTTTCTCAAAATCATTTTCAATTAAATCCAAAAAATAATTTTACCCCTTTTTATCATTATTATTATTATTATTTCTATTAAATTAAATTAAATTAAATTTAAAACTATATAATTATTACTTAATAAATTAATTATTAAAATAAAATAAAATCAAAATAATTCCAATAATAATAAAATAAAAAAAAAATTGGTGTTACAACTCTCCCCCCTTAAAGAAATTTGGTGCCCCAAATTTGCCTCTTACTCTTGGTCGAACAAATGGGGATACTGGGTTCTAATGTCTGATTCTAGCTCTCAGGTAGCCTCCCTTGGCGTGTGGTTCTGCCACATGACCTTTACAAATGATATTTTCCGGTTGTGGAGTATTCTGCTCTTTCGGTCCGTGATACCGACTGGTACTTCCTCATAGGACAACTCCTCTTGGAGTGGAAGCGGTTCATGAGCCAAGACATGAGAGGGGTCCGGGTTGTACTTGCGTAACATAGATACATGGAGCACATTGTGGACCTTGGAGAGCTCTAGAGGCAGTGCCAGTCTGTAGGCGGCAGTACCAATCCTGTCTAAGACTTAAAAAGGTCCAATAAATCCGGAGTTCAGTTTTTTCCTCCTGCCGAACCTACTAATTCCCTTGAAAGGAGTGACCTTAAGGAACACCCGGTCGCCTTTTTCAAACGCTAAATCTCTCATCTGGGAGTCCGCATAACTCTTCTGCCTGCTCTGAGCCGTCTGAATGTTCTTTATGATTTTAACTATTTTAGACGTGGTCTCCTCCACCAACTCCGGGCCGAAAAATTGTCCGTCGCCCACTTCTTCCCAACAAATCGGTGATCTGCATGGGCGCCCATATAACGCCTCATACGGAGCCATGCCAATGCTCACTTGGTAGCTGTTGTTATAGGCAAATTCTATCAAGGGTAGATGGTCATCCCAATGGCCCCCAGAGTCAAGGACACAAGCTCGGAGCATATCCTCAAGTGTACAGATTGTCTTTTTTTATTGTCCATCAGTCTGAGGATGGAAGGCAGTACTGAGAGACAGTTTTGTTTCCATGGCCTACTGAAAGCTACTCCAAAACAAAGAAGTGAACCTGGGGTCCCTGTCGGATACCACTGTCACTGGAACTCCATGCAATCTGACTATTTTTCGGATATACATTCTTGACAACTTGTCTAAGGGGTCGGTCATCCTGATGGCCAAGAAGTGGGAAGATTTGGTAAGTCGGTCAACAATTACTCAGATGGCGTCATGTCCTGAACGTGCCTTGGGTAATCCCGTCACGAAGTCCATGGTGATGTGTTCCCACTTCCACTCTGGGATCGGTAAAGGCTGAAGTAGCCCACCTGGGCGTTGATGCTCTGCCTTGACCTGCTGGCATACCAAGCATTTAGATACAAAGTCAGCTATGTCCCTCTTCATCCCATTCTACCAAAACCGGGGTCGCATGCTTTGGTACATTTTGGTACTTCCGGGATGCATGACAAACTTCGAGCTATGGGACTCTATCATGATGTCTCTCTTTAACTCACTGTCGTCTGGAACACACACCCTGTCCTGGAACCAGAGTAACCCATCGACAGGGATTCAGAATTTTGAACTCACTCCATGTTCTGCATCATTCTTGTGGGCTACTAGGGTGGGGTCGACTGACTGGGCTTCCCTTATTCTCTGTATTAACCGGGCTGGACGGTCAAACAGCCCAAACATACGACTCTCTTCAAGTCTTGAAGCTGAACCTGTTGTGTGACCCCAATTTGCCTGCGTTTTGAAACCATCAAATGGGCTAAGATACCTGCACTTTTCCTGCTGAGAGCATCTGCTACCACGTTGCCCTTACCCGGATGATACAAGATATCACAATCATAGTCTTGAAGGAGTTCCATCCACCTTCTCTGATGCATATTG